AACGCAATAACCAATATTTTAATGAGCGTGGCTTGCAAGCTCCGAGACAGAAACCAACTAGCCAGCCAGCCTAACCAGCCAACCAGCGCGCCCCACCCAGCTCGCTAACCAATCAGACATCCAGCCAGCCAATCAGCCCGCTAGCCAGCTCGCCAACCAGCCCGCCAACAGCCATCCAGCTCCAGCCCGCCAACCAGCCCACTCACCACCAGCCAGCTGGCCCGTCAACCAACCAACCACCCGCCAGAAACTAGCCAATTAACTGTTGCACCTCTCTGCGGTGAATCGATGTGATTGGCTTGATGGCCATACCAGACAGAAGTATTGCGAAGAAGGCTTGCCATCGAACAGTCCACTGCTCGCGTAGAGCTGCTTCGGCGGGTGAGGTGCAGGGGGTAGACGTGAGAAACGTGTGGCGACAAACGAAACTTGACAGCAAAGCCATGCGACGCAGATACACGGTGCACATTTGTTCTGCGGTGCAAGTCTTGATGGAAAAGCCGAAAGGGAGCACATGCGACCAGATGTGAAGAAGGCTTGCGTTCAAAAGGTCGAAATCCTTCAAGCACAAGCAAACACAAAAAGCGCAAAAGGACGCCCATAACGGAGCTGACCCCACGACGTCAACGTCTAGCACGGGACGGTCGTCTCTGAAAGGGTTGGTGGTAATGCGTGATACGTCAACACATGTCCTCGCCCAGTAAGACAGCTGGACCCGATGGAAGATGGCATCGAAACCACGTTCTCAAACCCATGGTGGACAATGTGCAATCGTCGACGGCACTGTGCAAATAGAATTCTGGAGTAACCACGCCCGCTCTTACCACCGCGCAACGTCCTGTCGGGATCTCAGAATGTCGTCCGCAGATCGTGGAATCAGGCGAGCTTCGTCCAAGGAACATCGGCAGCCAAAGAAACATGGCAAACATAAGGAGGCACAGGAGGGGGTCCTGGTGAGACCGGCCATGCTGAAGGAAGCTCGCGTACGTATCTTTCAGCACAGCGTCGAGGGTGACCAACTCGGCGATAGTAAGGCCAAGACTCCAAACCTGATATGTCCATTCGGTGCGCTGCCCATCGCAAGGACCCTCGCGAGATCGTGACCACTTCAGCTCTGCAGCTTCCTCCATGTCCACCTCCTCCTCCTCCTCCTCCTCCTCCTCCTCCTCCTCCTCTTGTTGTTCCTCTTCGTCACTCCCCTTTTCAGGGCGTTCCCTTCATGATTATTTCCCCTTCTCATTGCTCTCTCCCTCTTCCATCATCCCCTTTCCTCCTCCGCCCGACCAATCTGCAGGCTGGCCAGGCTGCGGCGAAAGATATCTTGCCCTCGCCCTTCTTCCAGTCCGCATAGGGGGGGCCATCCACATCCAGGACAATGGCCACCCTCTGCGCAAGAAAACCGCAGCACTGACAGACAGCTGCCCCCGCCAGCATTCCATCCACCCGTCCACCTCCTCCCCCCGCGACAACCACATTCCGAACATGCACAGTTTCTGATTTCGGGCCGGCGCGCGCGCGCGAGGCCGTCTGCAGACTGTACTGGCATCGAGGATCCGGAGACACAGGCTTCAGCGCGGGCGTAGACAACAACGGCATGCGCGAGACTCTGCTCTCTTCAGAAATTCCAGGGCGCTCCAATCCGAAGCACCCCCCAGAGTGCCTCGGGCCGACGCGACAAGGCTCGCGACAGTGGGCGCATTGCTTTCCGTGATCGACCAGCCCGCGTTCAGAGAGTTTTCGCCGAATGTGCACTGCGAATCCACCTGACGAGTTTCCCCCAGTGCCGCTTCCCCTGTCCGCATCCATCATGCCTCCAAGAGGCCCCAAGAAGGCCACAAGACGATTCTAAGTGCCCTCGGAAACCCCCCCAGGACCTCCCCGAGAAGCCAAAATCCAAATCCTTCAAAATCCTACCGGAAAAAATGGCTTTTGTATTCTCGCCGTTTCGCTTCCGATGCGCTTTCGAAGCCTCAAGATGGCCCCAAGATGTCCCAAGAGAGCGCCAAGAGCGGCCCAAGAGGCAGTCAAGATGGCCCCAAGAGCGCCCAAGACCGCCCTAAGAGGGGCCCAAGGGCGCATCAAGAGGCGGTGTTGAGGGCTCCAGGTGGGGGGGCCTAGATCGGGACCCCCCTCCTTTGATCGATAGCCTCGAAGATGGCCCCAAGAGGCGCTCCAGGGCTCCCGAGAGAGCCCCAAAAAGGCTCCAAGAGGGCCCCAAGAGGGCCCCAGGACGGCCTCCAGAGGGCCCCAAGACCCCCCAAAAGAGCCCGAAGATGGTTCCAAGTGGCGACTTTGACGGCTCCCGACGGGAGGGGGGGGAGGGGACGACATCGAGGAACCCTCCTCATTTGATCGGTGCACTCCAAAATGGCCCCAAGATGTCCCGATGCTTCAAGATAGCCTCCAAGATGGCTCAACACCCTCCTCCCCGTCCTCTCATTGCCCGCTCTGTTTCACTCTACACGGGGGGTACTATAGTTTTGACCATAAGACGTCATGCTCTCGACGCCCCCTGCCCCCCCGTAGAATCTTAGCGACATATTTTGGGTCGGGCGGCGGTTCGACTCCGATGGGTTCTCACCCTGTAAGAATATAATAATATATATTTAAAACAGGGTGATAATTACTCCGTCCCATTTAAAATAGGGCCGGAAAACACTCCGACTTGAACCCATTCACAATAAACCACTCCGCTTGGGTCACGTTTGATCGTCCGTGTCATCATCCCCATCGGCCCTGTCCTTCTCATGCCAACGCGATGTTTCATTGTATTCCTTGTTGCATTGATGCCGTGAGACCCTGGGCATCCTTCTCCAATGCGGTCGCTCTCGGTTCACTGGTTGGCCGCCCCAGAGGGCCCACAAAGGCTCGCGAATCCGAATCAAGGCACCTTTGCATCCTCATCGGTCCTCCGCGGCACGCGTGACTAGCGAGGCAATTCTCATCTTATGGTCAAAAACTTTAGTACCCCCGAAGTATGTGTCTGTTCTTTCCATTTCCCGACAGCTCGCGTAGGCAGGGCTTCTGAATGGGCCAGTGGGGATACTTTCCGTCGAGGCCGCAGGCGAGCGCGCCAGCAGCGTCAGAGGTCGGGCGGGCAACGCGCGAGCCTAATTGCCATCCGGTGGGGATACGCTAAACGTGGAGAATCTCCCCCAGTGCCGTTTTCCTTGTCCGCCGACCCCCGCTTGCCGGGGGTGAGAAGGCGTGATGGATCATTGGCTGTCCCCCTCCCCCTTTCCCCCCCAGGGTCCAAAATCTGTTTTTGAGAGATGGGTGGGTGTATCCAGGCTCGCTGGCGCACTCCTGGAGGCTCCGGGGCGTGCAAATCTGCAGTCCGTGGCCTCAAAGACGTGCCAAGACGGTCCCGAATCGCCGAACGAGTAGCCCGAGACGCGAACGTTGGCTCCAAGACGCCCCAAGACGCCTGCAAGACGCCCCAAAAGAGGCCCAAGAGCCTTCCCAAGAGGCCCTGAGAGGCAACAGAAACATCAGTCTTCTTTGGGTCTGTTCGTTCTTTCTGGGGTTATCGTCCTCTCGAGCTTCCGACGCTCCAAGACGGCCCAAGAGGCCCTGGAGACCGCCCCAAAACTGCCCAAGAGGCCCCTACAAGGGCCCCGTGACGACCCAAGAGGGTTCCAAGACGGCCCAGAAGGGCCCAAGCCGGCCGAAGATCGCCCCAAGAGGGCCTCAAGAGAGGCCAAGAGAGAGAAGACGAACCGAAAATCCGATGTTTCTGCCGCAGAAGTCTCCAGAAGCCCCCAAGCGGCCCCAAAAAGGCCCCCAATAAGCCTCAAGAGGCCCCAAAGCGGCCCCGAAGAGGCCCCGAAACAGCCCCCAAGACGCTTCCAAACTGCCGCCAAGAGGCTCGGCCACGCCCCCAAACAGTTCCCAAGACGCCCACAAGGCTCCCCAGATAGCGCCCAAGAAGGCCACGACGCCCCAACCGTGGACTCCCCACCTCTTCTGGGGGTCGGTGGAATGGCGTGAGCCTCCTGAATGACTTACGTTTCTTTCCAACCACTGTAGGCGCACAGGCAGACGCGCACGCTGCCCCAATGCGATTTGTTGTGTCGGCGCGTCGGCTGGACTCGAAACACATTGGCGAGTTCGTCGGCACCTGATCTCGTTGTGGTCGTCGGGGCGAAACAGCCGAATCGGGATCGCCGGTGATGAAAGCCCGATTCGCCGACGTCGTCTGCGAATTCGAAGCTGGCACCATCCGTGATACTGCGCAGGCGCGCTCCTCCTCCTCCTCCTCCTCCTCTTCCTCCTCCTCCTCCTCCTCCAAATCCTCCTCCCCCTCCTCGTCCTCCTCCTCGTCCTCCTTCTCCTCCTCCTCCTCCTCTTCCTCCTACTCCTCCTCCTGTTCCTCCTCCCCAATCGCAAACCACACATCGTACTCACACTCTCTCGGATCAGAGCTCGCATCGGCATGGAACCGCGCACTGGTGGGAGGACGGTTTTGTATGGTCGCTCTGCCAGTGAGCTTCGGGACTCGGACTACCATCAGCTTCCCAATGAAGCACACTGTTCATCACTTCTGTAAGCAGGGGGGGTGGGACATGGTATGGGAAACTGAATCAAGGAGGGAGCATCCACAAACGAGGGGACCCTCCGACATCGCCAATGCTTGCGTTGCCCCTCCGCCCCCGTGCCCTCACGCCCCTCCCCCCATCGTTCGCCTACTTAACGGGCTGCTTATGCACGCAACCCTGAACGAGGGCAGCGTGGAAGGCATGACAGCGTGCCAAGTAAGGTGGATCGCCCGATGGCCGCATACCGATCTGTAGTTGCATCGGCTCTTCGATGCAACTCTGACCATCCGATAGTCCTGAAAGCAATCGGCATGGCCTGCAAGATGTAGATGCACCTAGTGGCGCTGCCACGTCTCCTGATGGCACTTGGCATCTGCACAGCAACTTCCAAACTCGGTAGCAATAAAGAACTGCCACTGCGATGTTGAACTATAACAGCACACAGCGACTAAGCCTTTGCACATCCAGAGCTGGCGATACGACATGGACCCTGCTGTCGAGCTCGTCCAGCACCTCGGACAACCACATTCCTCATGCCCTGGTCACGCTACCACGATCAGAGCTTAAAATCAACTTCGGGGAAACATTACCGCTTTGCGTTGTTCTCAGGATCTCGCTAGTATGAGGAGTCAGAGGGGAGAGGGGCAAACCGAGCGCACCAACGTACACCCGAAACTTCTCCAGCATGCTTCTGGAATTCCACTGCGTGTCTTGAACGTGTTTGCTTTGGGCGCGCAATCAACGACCACCCTTCATTCACACACAAAACATACAGGCCATCAGTCAATGGATGGCAACATGGTCAAACGTTATGGGTCACAGAAAGGAGGGACTTAGACATGATAGTACAGAGTGTTGTGAACGCTGTTGTGGACGTAATGTTAATAACAAGGAAATCGAAGCCGAAGGCAAGCTAGCTAGACTGAGCGTGGCTGGATAGATGAGGCGGATGCAGGGCGGAAGCCGCCAGCAAGTTATGCACAGAGTGCGACGAAAACCATGACCGAATATGTGTGCAGCGCTCACAGGGCCTCCTCCTCCTCCTCCTCCTCCTTGCTCATCCTTTTTCCTCCTCCACCCCCTCGACCTCTGCGTCGCTTCTCATCCTTATTCTCACTCGTCCCTCCTCGTCGTCGTCCTCCTCCTCCTCCTGCTTTCCCCATTCCTGGTGGAATCTCCCAAAGGCACACGATTTGAAACAGAAGTGCTGGTAAGCTAGGGGAATCAACTTAGGACGCCATGGGCGAGCTGCCCACCACCGATGGTGGCCGAATGGTGCTGGGCTGTGTGATCCGCCGTCGGCGATCGAACGCGGCGGGTCGGTCACGCCGATCGTCACATCGTGATGCTATCTGAAGATATCTGGTCTTCGCACGAGGTGGCGGTGCGGAACCGATCGTCATGCTGAGGAGGCAGCATCGTGGCGATGGGGGCGAGAAGAGGGACAGGGGCACAAAGAGGAGGACGACGATGCGGAGCGGACTGCCCGAGAGAAGTCTGGGGCCCCCTCACCCCCGGGGAGATACACACATCGCGGCCGCTGCCCGAAAGCGGTGCTGTACAACAAGCTTCTCTCCTGGGGAGCTGCGGGCCACGGGTGCCGACCGCCACAAGAACCTCATTCTCTCGGCATCCCTGCCGGAAGCAGTTGTGGCATGCGCTAGCACGCTGACAGATGAGGCGGCGCAAGGAAGCAAAGCGGCGAAGCAGGGACAGACACACACAAGAGTGAAGCAACGAATGTTGAAACACAGAGTCGCACAAACGTATAGAGGAGGCCGGAGATCGCACGCTGCAGCACACTGTCCTCCGTTCCCACAGTTCCCTGCATCTGCCTCCTCCTCCTCCTGCTCCTCCATCCTGGTTCTCATCCACACTCCCCCCATCCCCCTGCCCCTCCTCCGGCTCCCCTGTCTCCTCGTCTTCCTCCTCTTCCACTTCCTCGTCCCCTCTTACCTCTGCCTCCTCATCTCGCTCGGGGTCGGCGCCCGTTGCTCGGAGGAGAGGGGGGAGAGACCCCCTCTCTCTCTTCCCCGCGGTGGTGCTGCCGCTGCTGCTGCTGCGCAGCGGTGCATCGGCGCAGCGACCAATCCTCCCCCTCCTCCCCCCTCCTCCATACCTCTCCCCCATCGTTGCCTTCCTCCTCCTCCTCCACCACCTCCTCCTCCTCCTGCTGCTCCTGCTCCTCCTCCTCCTCCTCCTCCTCCTCCTCCTCCTCTTCTTCCACTTCCACTTCCTCCTCCTCCTCCTTGTCCTCCTCCTCGCAAACACGGCCCGCAACCCAAGCCGCATCCACGACCGCAGGAGCTGCCGTCGAGCGCCGCGGCCGCCCTGCCTTGATTGAGTGCACGTCGGAGCACGCGTACAAGGGCGCCATGTGCGCCCCCCCGCGCACGGGAGCACAGGCCCCTCCGCGCACACAGGCGCTCACGAGCGAAGACCCCGCACGTGTCACGTGAGAGCTCCATGCGAGCGACGATCGAAAAACGGGGCTTACGCGAGATGTCACAGCGACCTTACCTTCGCAGCTTACGCGGGCCGAGACCACGGCACACCACACTGGAGACGAGGGTGCTCACGCGCGACCTTGCGCGGGCAGCTTACGCGCCAGCGTCGGCGCAGACGACCCCGTTTTTTTGCGTCGCTCACGTGGCCCTGGCGCTCACGCGCGTGAAAGCACGTGCCACGTGCACACGCACCAGGCGCATACTGCGGGGTTCCCTTCCCCCCCCCTCCGCGCACGCAATTACTTTCAGCGTGTGTGAAGGATCCGCCGCCAGGGGGAGGGATGAGAGGTGGCGGGAGGGATGAAGGGAAGGAGGGAGGGAGGGAGGCATGGGAAGGAGGGATGGGAAAGATGGATGGAGGGAGGGTGCTGGGAGGGAGGGATGGAGGGGATGGGAGGGAGGGATGGGAGAGAAAGAGGGATCAGAATATGAAGACGAAAATTCCTGAGCTCCGCGCGGAGTTCCTGGATCTGCGCCGGACCTCCCTCACTGGCACGCGCTCCGCGTGTCGGGGGCGGCGCCAGAGGCGCCGCTGGGAAGGGGGGGGGCCCAGCGCCGATACGAGAAATGCAGGCGGACCTCCAACAATTTGTGTTGGTGCCGTTTTGGGGGAGACCAAAGGGTACCGATACCGCTACTCCCCGGACCTCTCCTCGGGTGCGTTCTGACCAGAATTTGAAGGCGAACCCGACGGAGGCGACGAGGGCCTCCGAGGAGGCGCCAAAAAAGGGAAAGCGGGCGAAGGGTAGAGGCATGGGTACCCTTTTCCTTCTCCGAGGAGGAGGCACGGCAGCGGGGAGATCTTGCCGCGCAGCAAGGAGCAGCCGCCGGGCGCGGCGCAAACGCGGCCCACTCGGGGGCGCAGTAGCACGGCGAGAACGACAGGCTCGAGTCCTCGCACGACACCTCGAGGGCGCAGGGCCGACCAGCAGTTGCCGCCCTCCGCTCCTCCCAGGCTCCTCCTCCTCCTCCTCCTCCTCCTCCTCCTCCTCCTCCTCCCAACCTCCTCCTCTTCCTCCTCCTCCTCCTCCTCCTCCTCCCTCCTCAACCTCCTCCTCCTCCTCCTCCTCCTCTCCTCCTCCTCCTCCTGCTCTCCTCCTCCCATCTCCTCCCCCATCCTCGTCTACCCCCTCCTCGTCCTCTTCCTTTTTCCTCCTCCCAACCCTCCTCCTCTCCTCCTCCTCCTCCAACCTTTCCTCCCTCCTCCCTCCTCCCTCCTCCCTCCTCCTCCTCCTTCCTCCCCTCCTCCTCCTCCTCCTCCTCCTCCTTCTCCTCCTCCATCATCATCATCATCATCATCATCATCATCATCATCATCATCATCATCATCATCATCATCATCATCATCATCATCATCATCATCATCATCATCATCGTCATCATCATCAGCAGCAGCAGCATGAGTATCATCACATCATGTCACAACATATCACACCGTATCGCATCATATCGTGCCATACCATGCTATGCCATATCATGTCATGCCATATCATAACATATCATGGAACGGCATGTCAAATCATGTCATACCATATCGTATCGCACCAACTCAACTCACATCGCATGATGTAATGGCATATCATATCATAGCATAGCATGCCATGCCAATACATTACATATCATATCGTAGCATGTCAGCATCACCATCCTCCTCCTCCTCAGTGTGCCAAGATAACGCTTCATGGTGCTGGGTGCGTTATCGTCCCACCGGAAGGGGGGGTTCTTAATCGCTTCGCTGTGTTACGCGCTTGCCCACTGGCGACTCAATCATTCGCGTCCTGCAGACCCTTGCCCTTGTCGTTCCGCTCCCAGAAACCGACGCACATGCGCGTCGTGAAATCGATGACGCGGCGCACCCGAGCCACCGAGAACAATCCGGGCCCACCTGTACCCTTGAGGTCGTGGCAAATCGGCTTTCTTGGCCAAGCCCTGCCCAATGATATCGATGATGGCACGAAGCTGCAGCTCGGTGAACTCTGAATGGTCATCGTCCTGCATGACCCCCTCACCATCTGTCTCCTGGGCCTCTTCAACTTCCCTGTTTTCCTCAACTTTCCCGGTCACCTGTGCCGCGCTGGCCTCCCCGTTTTGCGGGTCTCTTTAGCTTTTCTGGTCTCCTTAGATTGACTGTCCTCATCTTTCCTGGTCTCCTCAACTTTCCTGGTCTCCTCAACTTTCCTGTCCGTCTCGGCTTTTCCGTCTTTCTCAGCGTTCCTGTCTTCCTCAACTGGTCTGTCCTCTTCGGCGTGCGTGGTCTTCTCTGATTTCCTGTCCTCTTCGGCTCTCTTGGTCTCCTCAGCTTTCCTGTACTCCTCAGCTTCCTCGACCTCCTCAACTATCCTGGTCTCCTCAGCTTTGCCAGTTTCCTCTGCTTCCTGTCCTCCTCGGCTTTTCTGTCCTCCTCGGCTCTCCTGGCCTCGTATGGTTTCCTGTCCTCCTCGGTGTTCTTGGACTCCTCTGCTTTCTTGTCCTCTTCGCCCTTCTTGGCCCCCTCACCTTTCCTGATCTCCTAGTCCTTGCCGCTCTCCTCAGCTCTCCTGTCCTCCTCTGCTTGCGCACTCGCAGCCTCCGCGGTAGCTATCCACCAGCCGTTCCAACACCCTTGCAGCGCCGCTCTTCCAGTTCAGTATGTACTCATCACCAGCATCTGCAGCTTTAGCTGTTTTATTTCCTGGTCCTTCTCCCTGATCAAGAGGCCTCCTAGATGGGGTCCGAGTAAATGGGGTCGGAGGATTGCACTGGATCGCCGATGTATCCCCGATGCATCGGCGATGCATCGAGGATGCATCGGCGACGTCGGCGATACAACGGCGACGTCGGCGTGGGGAAGCTCGGGCTTTGCATCGAGCCGCATCGACGATGCATCGGCGATGCGGAGCGATCCTTCGACCCCATCTACTCGGACCCCATCTAGGAGGCCTAGATGATCGCAGCCCGTTTTCGCGAAGACCGCAACGAATGCTCTGTCACCACTGCGTCCCAAAGTGCCGCCATCAGTGCGGCCGGCACCTGTTGCCACAAGCCACGTTCTGGGGCCCCACTCGCATATGCACGCTCACCTGAGCCCTCGAGACAAAAATTGATTGAGCCAAAATGGCCCTCCTCCTCCTCCCTCCCCCCCCTCCCCCCCCCCCCTCCCCCCCACCCCTCCTCTCCTCCTCCTCCGCCTCCTCCTCCCCTCCTTCCCCTCCTCCGAAACTCCTCCCCCATCCCTCCTCCTCTCTTCCTCTTCCTCCTCCTCCTCCTCTCCTAATCTCCCTCCCCTCCGCCTCCTCTCTCTCCCCCTGCCTCCTCCTCCTTCTCCTCTCCTCTCCTCCTCTCCTCCTCCTCCTCCCAATCTCCTCCCCACTTCCTCCTGCTCGTCGCACTCTCCTCGTTCTCCTTCTCAATCTCCACCTCCTCAATCTCCTCCTTTATATCCTCCTCGTTCTCCTCCACCTCTTACTCCTCCTCCTCCTCCTCCTCCTCCTCCTCCTCCTCCTCCTCCTCCTCCTCCTCTCATGTTCATCCTCGTTCTCCTCCTCCACCTCTTCCTTCTCGTTCTCGTCCTCAGGCTGTTCCTTGTCCTCCTCCTGCTCCTCATCGTCCTCCTCTCTTTTCTTTCATTCGGCAGCTGGTGCAATCAGCACGCGTGTTGCTGGAGCATATCCGACATTGAAAGTTCGTATCACAATTCCGCTCATGATGACCCCAAGGATTCAATCGCATGCGAGAAAACTACCGACGCACGACCAACTCTACAAAGCAACCTGTAGGCTCAATGCGCGGGATGGGAGAGGAAGGGGGTGAGAAGAATATGTTACAACGTGGGGAAAGGGAGAAGAGAGGAGACCGAGAGAGAAGGAGGTAGAGGAGGAGGAGGAGGAGGAGGAGGAGGAGGAGGAGGAGGAGGAGGAGGAGAGGAGGAGGAGGACGACGACGAATGGCAGGGAGGAGGGAAAGAGATAGTGCGAGGTATACGTTAAGAAGGAGCAAGAGAGTAGAGAGGATATCAGGAGACTAAGGAACATGAGGAGACAACAGCGAGAAGCAAGTTGAGGAGAGGAGGGCGAGGCAGGGAGGGAGAAGCATGACGACGAAAGAACATGAATGAAGACACAAACAAGCCTGCTCGTTGATCTTGACGCACCCGTCGACCTCCCCCCCTCAAAAAAACCCGGCGCAACCCACCTCTGTCACATGTCGGCCGCGTGGAGCCCAAACTGCGCTGCACTGCCGGCGCGGGCCGGGAGGTTCCGTGAGGCCCCCTAGGCGAGCATGGCTCTTTCAGAGTCTGAGACAAAACCACAGAAAGCACAAACATGAAAACTCGGAGGTCCGCGCGGATTTCTCGGATCGGCGCTGGAACCCCCCTCCCTGGCGCGCGGAGCGCGCCAGGGGCGGCTCCGGAGGCGCCGCCAGCGGAGTCCAGCGCCGATCCGAGAAATCCGCGCGGACCTCCGAGTTTTTCTGTTCATGTCATTGTTCGGTCCCCGAAGACAGCTTTTCGCCGCGCAATTCCCCGCCCAGGACAGCCACTGCGCTGTGCAAGCACGGCTCGATCTTCTTGCACGAAGGGAGCCCCTGACAATCTGCGCGACCAACCAGCTCGAACTTATCGTCCTCTGTGTGCCGCCGTCTGCGCGAAGCTGTGCACGACTGCTGTGGCCGATGGGGCTCCCCTGCCTCCCTGCCTGCCTCCCTCCCCCCTGAGGCGAAGCTCGAAAGTCGCCTTTTGTGGCACCGCCTGCGCACGCCCCCTGAGATCCTTCAGCTCAGCGATCTGGCCCCTGAGCGTCTCCATGGTGACTGGGGAGGCGAGGATTACTGAGCTGATGGATTTCGGTGTGCCAGGACATCGAACTTCTGCAGTTCAGGAGTCGTCGCCTGCCCAGTCGCCATGGAGGCGCTCAGGGGCCAGATCACTGAGCTGAAGGATCTCAGGGTTAGAATAAGTAACATCAAGTAACATCAAATGATCAGCAACATCAAGTGAGGATGAATCGAGAATCTCTGAGATCCCGCGGAGCTGGAGGATGCCTCGGGCGCCGCGGCCTTCTCGGAGCGCCCCGGAACGCTCTGGAACGGATTTATCCTCGTCCTAGCCCCGTCCGAAGGAGGGTGTGCTGCAGCATCGTGGTCCTCTGGTCCTCTGGACTTCTGGTCCTCCTGGTCCTCCTGGTCCTCCTGGTCCTCCTGCTCCTGCTCCTGCTCCTGCTCCTGCTCCTGCTCCTGCTCCTCCTCCTGCTCCTGCTCCTGCTCCTGCTCCTGCTCCTCCTCCTCCTCCTCCTCCTCCTCCTCCTCCTCCTCCTCCTCCACGGGGGTGCCCTGATCCTGAGACCTAGCCCCGTCCGACCCCCCCCCCATCCCTCGTTGAGGGCACGACATGACTGCATGCTGCTGCTGCTGCTGCTGCGCTGGCCGCCAGCAGGGCATGCTGCGGGGGAGTTGGAGGGCTTGCCCTCAGTCAGGCGCGTTCCACGACTCGCAGAGTAACCTCCTCCTGCTCCCCCTCCTCCTTCTCCTCCTCCTTCTCCTCCTCCTCCTCCTCCTCCTCCTCCTTAACCACTCGCAAATGGCCTGGATCCGCCGCGGGGGATCTACGATACATTACATCGAGGCAAACACATGCTTTTCGGACGTTTGCGAGTAGGCCCTTCGCGAGTAGCGGGACGCGCTCGGTGAGACCTGATCCATCCTGATCCGGCCCTGATCCTGCCCTGCCTGAGGGGGGCAAAACGGTGCCGATCCAGCTACTTCCTGGGCCTCTCCCAGGGTGCGTTCTGGCCAGAATTTCTAGGAGAATCCAGCCCTGGCGACGAGGGCCTCGCGGGAGGCCCCAAGAAAGCCCAAACGAAGGAAGGATAGCGATATCGTTGCCTTTTCCTCCTCTGATCCTGGTACCACGCGGCATTGTGGCGTCGTATAGTGCGCGCTGCGTTGCGCGGCGTCGTGTGATGTCGCGGACTCGCAGCGCTCTGCGGTTTTGTGGTGTCGCAGGGCGCTGCGGGCATCGCCATCCTGTCGCGGTGCCGTGCTGTCGCGTGGTGCCTGGGTGCTCGGGTGTTCTGTGCTGTCGTGTGATGTACTCGTGCTGGCGTAATGGTGCACTGTGTAAGAATAGACCGGTACAATTTTCTTTCGTGTCATGGTCGACCAATGTCGAAATACCAAAACGGACTTTGATCGACCAATGTCGAGGTACCCAAACGGAATTGGTGGACTCGGCGTAGTGCTGTCGCACGGCACCGTGATGACGTGTGGCATCGTGATGAGCGCTGTAGGTGAAGTGGGTGTCGTGCAGCGTTCGCCGAGAAGTAAAGTGCTCTCCACGGTGTCCAATCGGCGTCGGTTCACCATATGAAAAAAATGTGATGACATATGGGCGAAGCGAACACTAACTGCGTAAGCACGCGTAACATGTAATGGAGAAGTCTGCCGAATCCACCTGAGAAAAGTGCGATATAACTGTGGCACAAGTGCCACAAGTGCGATACTTCTTTGCGACAAGTTACAGAACATGGCCAACGCAAAGCAAAAAGGAACTCGAGGCATGGACGCCCAATCCATGTCTCACGCGACAGCTCCACATCACATCCATTCGAGACCAGTTTCTCATTGGCCAAAAAGTCCTGCCGCGTAGATTCTGGATATGACCCAGCCAGAATGCAAATACCACATGACGAACTGGCGCCGTAATCCCCGCCTTCCACGTCCACGTCAGCTGCGCTCGACTGGCGTAGCCCAGGGGGCCCAAGGGATGATGCGGGTGCCACGGCCCGCTGCCCATACCCGCCCCCCCTCGTGATCACGTTCGTCCTCCTCTTGGGAGCGCAAAGCGGGTACGGAAAAAATGGGTACGATGCCCAACAACACGTGTTGTCCAAAACTGACAGCGGCCGCTGTTGGGCAGGCGACCTTGTGTCTCCAATGGGCAACGGTCCACGGCGGCGCCGACAACGAGTCCTGCTCGAAACGAACCCGAGCCGCAATCGATCTCCGTGCCCGTTTTCCCGTACTGATTTCGTCTGTTCTAGTCCTTCCTCTTCGTCCTCGTCCTCCTCTTCCCGGCTGGCTGCTTGACCGAACCTCTGTTTAGGGGAACGAAAAATGGCATAAGCCTAAAAACTCTGAGTTCCGCGCGGATTTCTCGGATCGGCGCTGAACCCCCCTCCCTGGCGCGCGGAGCGCGCCAGAGGCGGCGCCGGAAGCGCCGCCCGGGGGCCCCAGCGCCGATCCGAGAAATCCGCGCGGGCCTCCGAATTTGCATGTTTATGTCATTTCTCGGTCCCCTATGCTTGACCGAACCTCTGTTGCCCCCCCGCCCACGTCGATGAGCTTCAGGAGCCCGCCGAAGATCATGAGGTTTTCGGGCTTCAAATCCAAGTGCACGAGGCCGCGGGCGTGCAGACCCGCCACCACGAGGACAAGCTGCCTGGGCCCGAGGGAGCTCCCAAACGGGCCATCGTGCCAAACGCCTCGCCATCATCGCACATCCCGAGGCGCCAGGGGCATTCCACGAACCAATCAAGGAGCACATCATAACTCAAATGGTTCGTCTTCCATTCCTCTTGGGAAAAGAAAGCAGCAACCAAAGAGCACAAAAGCGCACCGGGACAGCAAAGCGAGAGCGCTTGCCTCCTGCGAATCGTCAGGGAGAGGGGCCCCTACCGCCTCCCACTCCTACTCCCCCATCCTCGCTGGCAGTGGGCAGCGTGCCAAACTCCTCCTGCTCCCTCCCCTCTCCTCCTGCTGCGCTGCGCAGCGCTCTGTCGCGAGCCCGAGAGTCCGAGCCGCCGCCCCACGCGCCAAAGGGGGGCGGAGGAGGAGGAAGAGGAGGAAGAGGAGGAGGAAGAGGAGGAAGAGGAGGAGGAGGAGGAGGAGGAGGCTAGACTCGACCCTGAAAGGTCATGCAGATAAATTCAAGCAGTTCGAGGACCCCCCCAGCCCCTGACCCTAGCGCCCCCACACCAAAACGAGGAGGAGCCAGCGATCAGGGGTCGAAAAGGTCATCGGGTTGAGAGGCCACGCGGCCCCGCCGACTGGTCGCCAGGGCCCTCGTCCTGGCCTTCAGAGCTTTCGACCCCAAGAGCTTGGCTTGGGCCAGCTGGAGCCCAGAAAGCGGGAGCGCCTCCAGAATCGAAGGCCTCTTTGGGCCCTCCGACGGGGTCACAACCTGGGTCGCCTCGGAGCGCACAGGGGAAAAGTGCTCGGACCAAAACGAAATTTCGGCAACCGAGGGAGACCTGAGCTCTCCGAGCCTCTTCGCACCCCCTTTGGGATGCCTGCCCAGGGCGATTGTATTATTATTCTTACTACTCGGAATCGGGGGTCCTGGACAGTAAACCCTGCAGGCCGCGCCCTTTCTTGTCCGAAACATAACCTCTACAAGTTGCGCAGAACAGTATGACCGAACTTTCACCTGCCTCGGGGAGGAAAGGCGCTGCGAGCAAGGAGTGCCCGCACACGCGCCACGGCTGCAGCGAGCCGTCTAGGCCAGGCACCGGACTCCTCCCTGTGCACATGGGGTCCGCGCTAGCCGACGGGGCCGTATCCTCCTCACACGCCTCGGCAGGATCGACGGGCCACTCGCCCAGGTCAAGGATCTCCAGGACCTTGACCCCCATGGAGTCGCGGAGGCCCGACACTGCGATGTGCACCTCCTGCGCTGCCGCATGCCTCACCGCGAGGCGGGCGATGGAGAAGCAGCCCTCAATGCAGTAGATGTCGTTGCAGGCCGCTCGGGCCGCAGAGGCACCTTCATTAGCTCGGGCGTCGGCCAAGGCGTTGCCATCGAGCTCGAACTGCGTGATCTGCCCGTCCCTGGCTGCCTGCTGCCCCAGGTGGGCCCTGACTTTGACGACCTCCGCGTCCTTGAGCCTCTCCGCCCGTCTGGCCCAAAGGCGGGCACGCTGGCTGCCCGCCGCTGCCGCCGCCAGAAGATTGGTAGCGCGTCGTACTGTCGCAAGGCAGTCGCAATAGAGCTTGAAGGAGCCCCCAGCAATGGTGTCGGTGAGGACCTTCACCGCGTAGTCCTCTCCGTCTTTGGCCAGCTACTCGGGTCCTTCCGGCAGCGGGGCCGAGCCCCGCGCCTCAGCGACCAGCCTGCGGTGCTTGTCGAAGACGATGATGGACCAGCCAGCTGTCCTCAGGCTCGGGTAGCTCTGATCGAGCCCTGAATCGTCCGCGAAGACGTGCCCCCGTCGGCGAAGGGCCCAAAGTGCGGCCAGCTGGTCGCGTGCTTGAAGATGTCGTCGGAACGGGGCCTTCTCTGGACCAGCTCGGAGACGTCGGGAAACAGCCCCCTAGCGAACAGCTCCGTGAAAGGGTAGCCCAAGAGCTCGACGCGCGCAGCCGCGTCCCGCAGCAGCGGCTCCAGAAAGTCGCGCCTCCACCCATCGTGGGCATCGCAGCTGAACCGCCCGTGGAAGAGGGAGCCGACTGGGTGGTCGCAGAGCTGGCAACTCTTAGGGACGGAGGGGTCCTCCGCCCCGACCCTGGCCTGGCACCAGTAGGTGTTCTGGATGAGGCAGCGCAGCGCCCTCTGGGCAGGTGCCACACCTCAGAGCGGTGGCTGACCAGGTCGAGGGTCGGCTGCCAGAAGGGCGGGACCTCCCAGCCCAACATGTTGGAGCTCCTCAAGCCCGATGGCTCGTCGGCAGTCCTGGAAGACCACGTGGCCGAAGAAAGCTGGCGAGTAGCAACGTACTGGGTATTCGCGGCCCACCGCGTCATTGAGCCTATAGGGGTCGCCGTTGATGAATCCCCAGCCGACCCGCTCGAGCGTGAGCACCAAGGCGCTGATCGGTTCCTTCACCAGGCGCCTCGGGTGTATCCTCTTGGCGTTGCTCAGGCCAGCGGCGAGGCATGATCGGGCCGCCGCCTCTGGGAGCAGGGAGGCCCAGATCATCTCGATGTAGGCCATCAGCGCCGTCTCGGTGACGATCGTCAGGGGGTCCCACTTCCAACCACCTGACTGGCCACGGCTGGCGAGCCCCAGGGCGGCCCCGCGGGCCAGTCGGCCTCTCGCCTTGATGGCCCCAACGCGCAGCCCACGGAGGCGGCCGTTGGGCACCCCCATGATCGCCGAGCTCCAAGAAGCTTTCGCTGTGGGGCCAGCTCTGGCTCTGAAGGCCCTTGCTCGGCTGATCGAGGGACTGAACAGCCCGGTCAGCTTCCTCCCTTGGCATCGAGCGGCCTTCTCACGAGCCGCTGAGGTCGTTACGCGTCTGTAGGAATCCTACACTGCGTCGCCGCCCAGGTCCCTGCGCGCGTCCACGAAGTCGCCCTCCGCGAGGTCCAAGCCAGGGTGGCTCCTGAGGGCGTCGCGTAGCTTGCTGCCGGTAGCCAGCGCCTTGATCTTGTTCCTGCTGAGCGGCAGGTTGGCCTCCTTCATCTTCGTGCAGGAGGCGCGATAGGCAGCGGCCAGCTGCCGGGCTACCATGGTGCAAGGCCCAGTCGCATGGCACGAGACATCGTCGACCACGTTGAGGATCCTGGCGATGGGAGCCGCCAAGGCCGCTGCCCTGAGAGCCGAAATAAGGAGCTTGGCCAAGGCCGTAGCGCACGAGCAGCCTGCCACCACCGTGCCATTCGCGTTGACGGAGCCACTGAGGCAGGTGCTGATGCGGGCCCTCCGAGGGGCCCGCTAGGTGCAGCACAGCGCCCGCAGCGGCCCCAGGTCGAAGCCCCACGCCTGCGCCGCTACCTTGAGCTCGAAGTGCCCGATGTGCTCGTAGTACTTAGATAAGTCGGCGTAGAAGGACCCAGCTTCCCCGAGGGAGGACTTCGCGTGGGCCACGAAAATGTTGTGGAGCCAGGCTGCCTTGTCACACCCTCGAGATGAGGAGTTGCCCCAGAAGGCCTACTGGTTGATGGACCGCTCCCACTTTGCACATTCCCTCTGTCGTATGCGGGGCCAGATCCTGGCAAGCATCGGCGCGGGCCCGATGGGCCGCTGGCCGCTGTCAGGCTTCGGAATTAAAACCATGATGGTGGTCCAGAGCTCGCCGCGCTGCGGGTTGCGCTCCCATGAATTGAGCAAGCTGGCAAGCCTGAACAGGATATCGTCACCGACCTCCAGCGCCAGCCGAGGATGGAAGTTGCCCCACCCCAAGCCCGTGGTTTTGGGGAACTTGCGGGCCACCAGCTTGATATCGTCAATCGTGATGGGCTTGAGCGTCCAAAGCCCAGTCTCCAAAGCCACGGGGTGCTCCTGACTCGCCCGTGCCGGCCCCACCCAGAGAGGGGGTCAGTCCTCGAGGGCCCTCTCTAGCGCAGGCTGTCCGACGAGGGCAGCGTCGGCGGAGCCCTTCTCAGGGATGGGCAATGGCTCGGCATGGGCCTTCTTCGAGACCTCGTGGGCGATGGGCCCCTGCCGCTCGAAGGGCAGCTCGGAGAACTCGCCCCGCTTCAACTCGCTGGCCTGGGAGTCCTCTCTGGCATGTTTGACCGTAATCTGCTCGATCATAGCCATGGGGTTGTAGCCCGTGGCCGTCTGCAGGCTGACTTCTTCCCAGAAGCTGTCGAGGACGGAGCCGTCGAACATAGCGATGCCCAGGTCCTGAAACTCACCACGAAGGCCGAGCGCCACTTCTCGCAGCTGTCGCCCTCGTCGGGACTTGTAGCCGTCTGCCGAGCCGCCTGGGTCCAGCTCCCACCTGCGCTTGGCTAGGTGACGGAGGGAAAGCCAGCGCTGGGTGATAGGCGAGGCCTTGTCTAGTCTGCCTGCGTGCACCTTGGCCTCGAGCGGGACCGCGATCGCCCTGATGCCCTTGGCCATGCCATTGAAGTAGCGGGCCTCGCCCTCAAGCATACCTTGCAGCGCCTGCAACGCCAGCTCCGATCGAGTGGACCACTCTTTGATGGGGCCATCAGGCTCAGTGTCGGATGGAGGCCATGCCAGCGACCCGACCAACTGATCACGCCTGCCTCTGGCCACGTCATCGGCCACGTACTCGAACTCGAAGGCCTCGGGCGCCCTCTGGGTCTGCGCCATGGGCCGCTGCCAGCAACCATGCAGAACCAAGGAAACCGCCGGATGAGAACCGTTCGGCGTGTCGGCATGGGCCGTGATGGAGCCCACCATGGCTTCCAATGCCGTCGAGATGACAAAGTAATCGTACTCGTTGCCATAGCGTGCAGCTGTTCCTGGGCCCAGCACAGCCCCTCCGATAAGGGCTGGCCACCCAGAGTCCAAGAGCTCCGAGGCCTCGATGTTCCAGTCGCCGCCTATCACGAAGGTGTCGTCCAACAGCGCGCACCACTCGTGGAGGTCGGCGAGCAGCTGGCGGTTGGACCCCTGCAAGCCCACGGAGTCCTCGAGGTAGACCGAGATCACGGAAGTGGTGGTGCCCTTTCCCAAAGCGATCCGGCGGGCGAGGAACCTGCGCTGCTGGCCATCCCAAGGCTGGACATATCTCGCCGAGCCCAGCAGCTTCGAGGTGACGATGCCAACGCCAGCCGAGACCGCCGTGGCCGCCTCTCCCGTTCTGAGCACAGCTGAGCATGCCAGCTGGAGGCCGCGTCGGTTGGCCCATCCGTGGGCTTGCTCCTCGGCGGTCTGGGAGGAAAACCGCGTCTCCTGTACCAGTGCAACGTGCGGCTCGAGTTGTAGGCGCAGACGCGGTGGTCACCATCCAGCGAGCCCCGCTGCAGCGCCGAGGGCTCCAGGTGGGGCAGGCACTGCTCGAGGCTGATGGCTACAACGCCTGCAGCGACAGGCGTATGTCCTGTGTGCAGGACCAGACTCTGCACTTCTGCAGCCGCGAGGTCTGTCCCAGCTGGGCGTCGGGCCTCCTGGTCGACGCTGCCTCCGTGCCTGGCGGGCATCGACCGCCCCCCCGTCGGGGGCCGCACAGGCAGGGGCCACGTGGGGGGAGACTGTTGTCCGAGCGGCCTCGGCTCCCTCGCCGCGCGCTCAAGCAGCGGGCCAGGGGGGCTGCCCGCCCCCCCTCCGCCAGGGGGGCCGCTACCCTGCGAACTGACCAGCAGCCCCGTCACCAGCAGCAGGCGCAGCAGGTGCACTGGCCACCATCTGCTCGGTGGCCCGCAGGCGGGCTGCCTCGGCCGCCGCAGCCCCGAGCTCGGCTGCCTGCGCGTCGCGCCCGCTGGAGCCGCTGGCGGGCCCGCCTGCGGCGGCGGAAGTGGCGGAAGCCGCCGCGGCAGCAGTGGGAGCAGCCTGGCGCTCGGCCGCAGCTGCTGCCGCTGGCTCCTAAGCGGAGGCCCCTGCGGGCTCTGCAGGCTGGGTCCGCTCCCTCTTGCGGCGCTTGCTGGCCGCGGCCTCTTCGATGTCCTTCGTGAACAGCTGTAGCTGCTCCTAACACTTGCGCTCGAATACCGCCTGGGCCTCCAGCATGACCCTGTGGCCACCCTCGCACATCTGGCGGGGGTTGCCCTGGGCCTCCTCCTCCAGCTCGCTGAAGTTCTCGAGCGTCTCCACGTCGAAAGTGACCGACTTCGAGGCATCGGGAGTCGGCTGCGCGATCCCCGAAGCCTGGGCCCGACTGCGCAGGAGCTGGGCCTCCTCTGCCTGGGCCTCCGCCAGGCTGGTTGCGACGGTGTCGCGCCAGCCGCGACACTCGTCCAGCTGCTCCCCAGCCGCCACCAGGGCGCCAGCGGCCTCGTCCAGCTGGCGCTGGAGGTTGATGCGCCGATCGGTGGCCGACTGCAGCTGCTGCTCCAGCGTCTTCTGGGCTTCTGCAGGCGGAGGCGGAACGAAGTCGCGGGCCTCCGCGAGCGCCTCCGGTAGCTTGTCCGTCATGGTCGGGTCGGAGATGGCCAGCAGCTTGTCGAGCTCCGATGACCCAGAGGACGACCAGGGGGCGGCAGGAAAGCCACGGCGGCCATCGACAGCGCCGCCCGCCGCTGCGGCCTTGGCCTTGGGGCTCCCCCCCGCCACTGCGGCCTTGGCCTTGGGGCTGGCCTTCGGCGTTGCCCCTCCTGCGCCTTTGCCCGCCCAGACACCATTGCGCGGCGACGGGTTGGCGGGCTTGAGCTCGAGGGACTGGCCGCACGCCCAGCAATGCGTGCTCTTGCGGAACTTCCACCTGAAACGGCACGCGGTGCAGGTGACGAACCCTGGCTGCGCCTTCGGCGCCATGGCGGCTTCTGAGACTCGAGAGAATGGGGCAGACCACTTCTCGCCAAAACTGTCGGGCTGAGCAGCCCTCAGGCCGCGGACTAGCGGTATCCACGTGTTCCCCTGTGGAACGAAGCATGTTGAGCCAAACTGGATACAGAGGAGGAGCAGGAGGAGGAGGAGGAGGAGGAGGAGGAGGAGGAGGAGGAGGAGGAGGAGGAGGAGGAGGCGCGCCGCGAGCGGTGGTCGAAGGGGCTCCCCAAGGCACCCGCGGGGCCAGGGGCCTCAGCTTCCGCTTCTCTGGCGGCGAACGACAGGCCTCTGAAGAGATTCGCGGACACTCATGCCACATTCATCTGTCGGCGTCCCCCTCCTCCTCCTCCTCCTCCTCCTCCTCCTCCTCGTCCTCCTCGTCCTCCTCCTCTTCTTCTTTTTCCTCCTCTTCCTCCTCCTCCTCCTCCTCCTCCTCCTCCTCCTTCGCCCAATAATCAAAATTGGTGGTGGGTGCACTGAGTTGCAGTTCGACCGCGAGCTTCCACGCGCGCGCGTGCCAGCTTTGTTTTTGGGAGAGAGGGGGAGTGCCCGCGAATTGCTTCCTTCTACCGGAGGGGGGGAAGCGAGAAGGAGAAGGCCTTCTCAGAAGGCGGCGGGACTTTTCAGAAGCGCTCTGGCCTCCCGAGAAGTTGTCGGTGCTTTCGCGGAAGGTTCAGAGAACTCCTCAGAAGGCCGGGGGACTTCCGAGCCTTCTGAGAAGGCCCGCCCCTTCTCACTTCCCCCCGGGCTCGCCGAATTTCAGAGGGGGAAAAGAAAAGAACCCACCTGGTCCGTCCTACATCCCGACGCACGTACAAAGGAGGAAATATGGCACAGGGATCGGGATGAGCGTCGGGGCCGCTTAGTCGACGATGCTGTGCTTACTGTCGACGCAGTAGCTTGCCAGTAGCGTTTTGCATGGCGCACCCTGTCGGAAGCGCTGTGGTCGAAGTATGTTAGTAATCGATGCACTCGTCACGCAACTATTGTCGCGCTAGAATCACTCTGACGTAACAGCCTCTGGGTGCCCAAATGGAAAAGTGACGCTGGCGCACCTGAAGTAGCAGCGTAACGGCTCAACGCCCGTCACTGGGGCTGCGAAGGCCACGGGGGCGCTTCGTAAAACACTCGATGTGGTCGGTAGGTCCGCGTTTGTTGTGCGGCGCCATCAGGGCCGGTAATCCATGGTCCTTGTGGCAGCAGTCGGTACTTGGGACCCCTGAGGGGTCGAATATCTCGACGTAGCAGTTCGTGCCACCAGTGGGAGCAGGCTGGTAGTGTAGGAGATGCTCGCTTGGCACATCCTCGATCCCGTGGCTCATGTAGCACACTTTCAGGCGCGTGTAGTCCTCGACGGAGTACT